TTTGCCCCCACAGCCTCTGTTCTATCTCATCTTGGATCTCCCTTCACAGTGAGAAGGCCGTGGAGCTAAACCCTCCTGTGTCCACTCTGAAAAAGAACCTGGCTTGGGCAGCGCCTCTGGCTGAAAGGAGTAGGGCACCAGCCCCATATACTGGAGGTGGTGGGTTCAAACCAGGCCCCGGCCAAAAACAAACAAACAAAAAAACCTTGGCTTGCTATAGGACCATAATTGCAGGAACTTTTCGAGTGACATCCCATTCTGCTTCCTAGACCTGTTAGTTGAGGTTGTCATTTGGCCCTGGATGATAAATGTCTTCTAAGTACTGATTTCACATCTCCTCCCTGCTCCCCCCCCCCCAAATGGCTGCATTTCTGACATTTCAGACTTAGGGAGGAAGTCCCATTGTCCTCCTCAGAACCAGAAGAGTTCTGGACGTAGCCAGAAGGCTTCAAAGTTCTGTCCTGTTGCCTTTTCAGTGTGAGTATGGATTTCCCACCACAGTCGGTAACCAGGAAGCGAAGAAAATGGCAATCTTGTAACCTGTGATGCTACCATGCATCTTTCTATCAGTAAGTGGTTGAAATACTGCGCAGCTTGGTTTCGTTGGAAAAAACTACATAAATATGTGGTGACATTGTGACAAAAGGGGGGACAATGGAAGCAAAGCTAACTCATAGTTTATAAATGCCAGTGCTTCCCAAAATTAGTATATTAATGTTAAATTGGGAGCCTGCGTGTCTATTTAAGTTAGAATTTTGTGTTCCCCTTTTTTTGTTAGAACAGGAAGTCCCCTTGGAAGGTGTGAGCATGTGGTTCCAGCCGCGGCCGGCAGGTGGCGGTATCAGACAGCACAGCACCGGCGGTGCCCTCCCTGCTGCCTGGCTGGCAGATGGCCTTGTTCTCAGAATAAACCGGAATGGGACCTGGATACTAAAACCATGCAGAATCTTATTATCTGTGACTGACACTATTAGCAATGTGCTCAAAACTGAGCTGCCAGGTCCTACTGAGACAACCCATCACTCACGCCCCTCTGCTCTGAGATACTGCTTCTCTTCTGCAACCTGAAATTGGCAGGAAACAAAAGAATGACCTTGGACTTGCACAATCTGTGGGGCTTTCAAACCAAATTACAGCCATCACGAGCAATATAGTTTTTTGCTTGCAGCTCTTTCCTGCTGAATTAGCACCATTGCACACACATCTTTTTTCTTTCCTGGGTCTGTTCTTCCAACAGCAAGGGCCAAAATAAAATCCCAAGCCTTAAAAATTGGATCTAATGTTTGATTTACATATAAGCCTAACGGTAACATTTAAGCAGACACACAGAGGGTAACTCAGACCTGCTAAATAGAAAGTTGCCTTGAGAGGACTTCAGTACCCTCGATTGAGCCAATAAATCGATTATCTTGTTAACTGAATTTTATGAGTCAGTTAAGTGATCCTTTCAGACCATACTTGAAGGGAATGATAGTATGTGCATGTGTTTGCTACTAAGTTATTCTAGATTTATTTCCAAGGGTTCACTGATAACCTAGCCTGGGGAAATAGTCCAAACTGGTCCTTGCTTGGACAGAGTGGGAGGCAGTTTTCCCCATAATTTCACTGGTTTTTATAAAGATACCCAAACTAGAAGGTTTAAAAAAATGGTTCTATGTTTTTATTTTTTTATCTAGAGTATAAAAAGCTTAAGCTAATTTGAAAGATTAAGGGTTTGAAGGAAAATGGTAGGTAATTCAACAGTAAATATATCTTGACTGACTTCATTTCTCACATTTGATCTGATAGTAAAAGAACGGCCCAGATGGCCCCTGAATGTTCCCTTCAGTACTAAGATTTTATGGAACATCTTTCAAAGAGGAGTAGGTGGTGTATGTAGAAAAAACTAAATGTGCTATTTTGGCTTCTGGCGAGGAGGGGGGAGGGAAGCATTTATTTTTAGAATATGTTCTAGTTGCACGCAGTTTTACAAGAAGTGGAAGGGAGTGTTTTAACATCAGTGAATCCTTCAGGGCCTGAAGTCTGTGGACACGCATGTTTCAGATTCACCATGATCCCAAGAGCACACGTGTAATTAGAATGTACACGCACACACACACACACGCGTGTATTCCCAGTTCCCACACACATTCGGGAGAGGGGCTGCTGAAGGCATGGTCATGTTAGCAAAGTTCCTTGGATAAAAAATAGTTATGTTCACTGGTTCTGAGAAAGTGCTGCCAGATCTAGCATTCATTATTCAGAGGGAGCTACAGGGAGACTATCATTGAAATATAGAAAACGGAAAATTACCAAATCACTGTTAACAGCGAGGGATTGACTGGGTATGCTAACCGGAATGTTTCCTCCAAAAATTAAAGAAGAAAAATCATGGCGTCTAACACTCTGCCTTGATTTCTTTTTTCCCTAAGGATTTCAAATAATGTTTTAATCAGATTTTCTCGTGACATAAGCCTTGATAAGTAATGCACCGGCCTACGATGGGGACTAAACTCGCTTAGCTGAGTCCCAGGGGAATTCTTAGCCATGAACAGTTCTCTCCTAAGGATTCTGTGTACCCTAGAGATTTTCCCCCCTTTGGGTCACACCGATAATTTGATTAAGTCTGACAAACATTGTTCTATTCCAGTCCATATACAAGCAGTTGGATGTCCAAGGGATTTTTAATAAGTATTATCTTTCATTCAGACTTTTTAGGAACTCAAACAAATACCTAATTTTAGTTGAGAATGGACAAATCCCGTAACTAGAGCAGTTCCTCCAAATGTATTAAAACACAGTATTGGATGCAGACTTCATATACCAGTTTATATGTTGATTTAATGAAATATATATCTGCTGTAACATCAACTTTATATGGGTTATTTAAATACAAAAAAAATTAACAATTTCACCCACAAATTCCTGTGTGGGTGGGGTTGTTGGCTCTTTTTCTGGATTTTTCTGACATCTTGATTTCTTTTTCTCCTCCTGGTACTTCCTGGAGATAATCCTTCCCACCTGACATCCGTGCCCCACCCCACCCCCCACATCCGTGCCCCCCTCCTGTCACCCTGCAGCCTCCCACCCGCCTTGTGTGATTGCGTTTAGCTGAGGCGTGGGTCCCTGCTCAGTTATTATCTCAGGGAGCAGTGGCATTGTGAGCTTTTTATTCGTGAATTGTGGAATCCATTTCTCATATTAAGGAAGAGGTCAGGTAGTAGGGAGATAAGGCATTTTAAAATTTATTTATTCATTTGTCCATTTAACAGACATTTATTAACCTACTGTTCACCCAGCTCAGCTCAGGTGTTGAAGGTTAAATGTGAGTAAAAAAGGTCACTGTTCTCCAGGGTGGAGCTGAGCCCCTCTGACACAGGCTGGTCTAATCCTCATGAAAATCCTTTAGGAAAGCTAATTTATGCAAAGTTGAAGTAAGTGTTAAAAACCCCTCCCCTCCTCCCTTCCTGAGACCCCTCCCCACCCTGGCCCAGCTCCCTCCCTGCGGGGTGTTGTCCTGTCTTGGTGTTTTCCCCACTCTTTAACCCGTATGCTGACCCAAGTGGGTGTCCTCAGCTCCCTTACCCATCTTAGGCTCACCACCTCTGGCCTGGGGCAGAGCAGCTGCTGGTGAATGTTGCCCTACTGATTCTCTCCCGCTGTCCATGAGGAGGCCAGCCCAAGCAGCTGCCCTTTAATTCTGTCGGTTTGTCAGAATCACAAAAGTGGCCTGGCATAGGCCTGCCCACATCCCCGTCCACGCCAGCCAGGAGACTGTCTCTTCCTCTACTTGAAGTTTTTACCCAGCCCTCCGTCTCCTTCCGTCCACCCTGACCGTGGATTACTGCTGGGTACTCAGTGTTTTATTTATTTATTTATTCATTTATTAAGAGACAGAGTCTCACTTTGTTGCCCTTGGTAGAGTGCTATGGCGTCATAGCTCACAGCAACCTCCAGCTCTTGGGCTTAGGCGATTCTCTCCCCTCAGCCTCCCGAGTAGCTGGGACTACAGGCGCCCACCACCACACCCGGCTATTTTTTTGTTGCAGTTTGGCTGGGGCCGGGTTTGAACCCGCCACCCTCGGTATATGGGGCCGGTGCCCTGCCCACTGAGCCACAGGCGCCGCCCCCTCGGTGTTGTTTGAGCTCGACCTTCAGTGTGTCTCTCTAACTCAATTCCTGCTTTCCCGAGGTTGTCACAGATCCTGGCTTTTGTCACCAACACAGAATTTCACAAAGGCACCTGTCTTAACGATGCATGTCTATGAATAGAAGTGTTGGTCTATTTCTTTTTTTCTTGGGGAGGCCTCATTAGGTGGCAGGTCACAACACAAGATCCAGAGGAAAGTCTGGACACTCACTAGGTACATCTGGGCAGGTGACCCCACTGCTCTGTGCAAACAGTGAAGGTGACAGTGACGGTTGTGAGGACGAGAGGAGATTCTGCATGAGGAGTGCTGAGTGCACTGCCTGACCCAGAGAAGGTGCTCTGTGAATGGTGGCTGTTATTATGAATGTGTCACCGTTGTAAGTTGGTGCCTGTGGGAAGAGGAAACGTCAGATCAGAGTCAGAAGCGTGTGTCTGAACTCCAAGTCATGGGTTGACCTTGCTGAACAAAAGACACCTCTCTTACGTAGCTATAAAAGAAACTATCTGAGACTTTGGGGTTTAAACATTGATCGGGTCCAGTGCTGGTCTTCCTCGCCTCTGTTGTGTGAACACACAGAATGAGTGTCCCATAAGCCGTGACATTGTGGAATCTGACTTGGGTTTTCTTCTTCTGGTCTTGTCTGAGCCTACCTCTTTGCTGTCTCTGGTTCACAGACGTCTAACACAGGCAGTTTCATGCCAACGTCCTCTCCAGAAATGCACATTAGGTGGTAGAGAAGTGGGTACTAAAAGTTTTCAGGTCCTTCTTAAAGCACATTCAGTGTCTGCGATGGTGTGGAGGGAGTGTGGGTCAGAAAGCCGTGGGTACCGGCTCCTGCTCAGTCCAGACTGACTCTGCTTCCTTCCCCAGGACCTGCAGATAGAGCGGGAGAGGAGCTCGTACGACATATCGGGCGGCTGCACGGCCCTGGTCGTGGTGTGCCTTCTGGGGAAGCTGTACGTGGCCAACGCTGGGGACAGCAGGTAAGCCGAAAGCTGTCTGATTCTACTCATTTCCAATGCCCTCGACACTTTTTGTCCTTTCTCAAAAAAGTCGAGTGATTAGAAATAAGATAATTCTGCTTGGGATTAGATATTGACAAAGGCAGGCCTTCTGTATCAGATCAAAAATGTGTCCAAGAAGCACAGTGAGGCTGGGGCGGCCTCCTGCCCGTACACAGCAGCAGTGGCGTCTGCTCCTGGGACGCGTCTGAACCAGCCTCAGAACCTGTTTTCCAGTGAAAGCCTAGTAGAGTTATAGACTGTGAGAGCAATCGGGGGAGCGAGGGAATGAAGGAAGATTTGGAGGGTCACCCGGGAGTTTCTCACTGGCTCCACTCTGCTCAAGGACCTCACTGGTCCCTTCCCGCTGGCCCCGGCCCCTCTCTCCACTCAGAGACCTCACACTGTCCCCTCCCGCTGGCCCCATCCCCTCTCTCCACTCAGAGACCTCACACTGTCCCCTCCCGCTGGCCCCATCCCCTCTCTCCACTCAGGGACCTCACACCGTCCCCTCCCGCTGGCCTCGGCCCCTCTCTCCACTCAGAGACCTCACACC